TTTACAGTCTGCTAACGCGACAGTCCGCTAACGTGACAGTCTGCTAACTTTACAGTCTGCTATCTTTACAGTCTGCTAACTTTACAGTCTGCTAACTTTACAGTCTGCTAACATGATAGTCCGCTAACGTGACAGTCTGCTAACTTTACAGTCCACTAACGTGACAGTCCGCTAACTTTACGGTCTGCTAACATGACAGTCCGCTAACGCGACAGTCCGCTAACGCGACAGTCCGCTAACGTGACAGTCTGCTAACTTTACAGTCTGCTAACGTGACAGTCCGCTAACGTGACAGTCTGCTAACTTTACAGTCTGCTAACTTTACAGTCTGCTAACATGACAGTCTGCTAACATGACAGTCCGCTAACGTGACAGTCTGCTAACTTTACAGTCTGCTAACTTTACAGTCTGCTAACGTGACAGTCTGCTAACTTTACAGTCTGCTAACTTTACAGTCTGCTAACTTTACAGTCTGCTAACTTTACAGTCTGCTAACGTGACAGTCTGCTAACTTTACAGTCTGCTAACTTTACAGTTTGCTAACTTTACAGTCTGCTAACATGACAGTCCGCTAATATAACAGTCCGCTAATGCGACAGTTCGCTAATGTGACAGTCTGCTAACTTTACAGTCTGCTAACATTACGGTCCGCTAACGTGACAGCCTGCTAATGTTACAGTCTGCTAATGTTATGGTCTGCTAACGTGACCGCCTGCTAACTTTACAGTCTGCTAACATTACGGTCTGCAAACGTGACAGTCTGCTAACTTTACAGTCTGCTAACATTACGGTCTGCTAACGTGACAGTCTGCTAACATTACGGTCTGCTAATGTTATGGTCTGCTAACGTGACAGCCTGCTAACTTTACAGTCTGCTAACATTACGGTCTGCTAACGTGACAGTCTGCTAACTTTACAGTCTGCTAACATTACGGTCTGCTAATGTTATGGTCTGCTAACGTGACAGCCTGCTAACTTTACAGTCTGCTAACATTACGGTCTGCTAATGTTATGGTCTGCTAACATGACAGCCTGCTAATGTTACAGTCTGCTAATGTTATGGTCTGCTAACGTGACAGCCTGCTGTAGTCTGTTGCTGTTAACCTTTAGCCAAACTCTGTTTCGAAGTAGTAGAAGCGTGAAACGATGTTTTCAGAAAGTCATTTTTTGTTAACAATTTCTCTTCCTTGTCGTCCCCACACGGTCCCGGATAAGAAAGACATGGTGTATCTTCATACTGCAACCTCTCCTCCTGTTCAAGTAATGTGGGGAATCTGACACCGGTCTTTTCAGCGTCCTCAAACTTTAATTCATAGTGATTGGATACCAAATCTGGCAAGGGGTTTCCTCACCCGCATGGACTCACAGGCACACACACAAACAGAGCCAATGCAGTTAAAAATACTTTGCATTGAAGCTTTTTGCAAGCAAAACAGTAAAAAACGTCATTCACAAGCCCCCATAGAACCATAAATGCTGTACCAACGGTTTGATCCTGCTCCATTTGTTTAAATTTACAGATTTTATTGATTCATTAACTGTTCGTATAAAAAGTGTGCGGGCTCTACAGGCTCTGGCTATTCATGGAGATGTGCTGGGTGGGCAGGGTCAATGTAGCCATCATCAGGATCTATGTAACTGTAGTTCTGCTCTCCATTAATCAGGTCGTCTTCGGGGAGGGGTCCAGGGGGGCGTGGTCAGTGTCCGTTGGAGGATTTATTTTCAAAGCAGCTTTGCTTTTGATCGCGTAGTACAGAGACACCATGAGGACAAACAGAACCATCTGCAGAAACAAACGAAGAAAAGAGAAAATTTAGGTGAATAAAATCTCTCTGAGCGCTGAAAGGATACACAGACAACACTAAGGGCTAGTTAGCGCCCCTCGGAGGCTGTTCAGCTCGTTACAGCACAGGATGTCAGTTTACCTGGATAAACATGAGACCGACGACATGCCGTGATGGTGTTAATGTTTCCTGCAGCCAATATTTGACCTTCTCTTTGCAACCCTGGTTAAGAAACACACACAAAAATTATTCACCTCAGACCTAGCATGACAAAACCCAACACATAAAACATTAAAAACATGAAAGTACTTCTATCAATATATATATCTGTCAATATAACAATGTTTAACACATGTATACTAATATAATATAAAGGACCAATATTAAACATAACAGCGTAACACAATAGAAAAGAATAACGTAAATACAACATAATTAACTTTTCATAACAAAAGAATAGATAACAAATGTTCCAGAAGATTAAATAAAAAAGGGATATTAAACATTCAGACAAATTGTAGATATTAAGATTCATTAATAACATCCAAATTTTTTCTATTAGGAACTTCTTATTAAAGAGATCGAACAAGATCAAGCAACATAAATGTGTGTGTGTGTGTGTGTGTGTGTGTGTATGTGTGTCTGTGTGTGTGTGTGTGTGTGTGTGTGTGTGTGTGTGTGTGTGTGTGTGTGTGTGTGTGTGTGTGTGTGTGTGTGTATGTGTGTGTGTGTGTGTGTGTATGTGTGTGTGTGTGTGTGTGTGTGTGTGTGTGTGTGTGTATGTGTGTCTGTGTGTGTGTGTATGTGTGTGTGTGTGTGTGTGTGTGTGTGTGTGTGTGTGTGTGTGTGTGTGTGTGTGTGTGTCTGTGTGTGTGCGTGTCTGTGCGTGTGTGTATGTGTGTGTGTGTGTGTGTGTGTGTGTCTGTGTGTGTGTGTGTGTGTGTGTGTGTTGTGTGTGTGTGTGTGTGTGTGTGTGTGTGTCTGTGTGTGTGTGTGTGTGTGTGTGTGTGTGTGTGTGTCTGTGTGTGCGTCTGTGTGTGCGTCTGTGTGTGCGTGTGTGTGTGCGTGTGTGTGCGTGTGTGTGTCTGTGTGTGTGTGTGTTTGTGTGTGTGTGTGTGTGTGTGTGTGTGTGTGTGTGTCTGTGTGTGCGTCTGTGTGTGCGTGTGTGTGTGTCTGTGTGTGTCTGTGTGTGTGTCTGTGTGTGTGTCTGTGTGTGTGTGTGTGTGTCTGTGTGTGTGTGTGTGTGTGTGTGTGTGTGTCTGTCTGTGTGTGTGTGTGTGTGTGTCTGTGTGTGTGTGTGTGTGTGTGTGCGTGTGTGTGCGTGTGTGTGTCTGTGTGTGTGTGTGTGTGTCTGTGTGTGTGTGTGTGTGTGTGTGTGTGTGTGTGTGTGTGTGTGTCTGTGTGTGTCTGTGTGTGTGTCTGTGTGTGTCTGTGTGTGTGTGTGTGTGTGTCTGTGTGTGTCTGTGTGTGTGTCTGTGTGTGTGTGTGTGTGTGTCTGTGTGTGTGTGTGTGTGTGTCTGTGTGTGTGTGTGTGTGTGTGTGCGTCTGTGTGTGCGTGTGTGTGTGTCTGTGTGTGTCTGTGTGTGTGTCTGTGTGTGTGTGTGTGTGTGTGTGTGTGTGTGTGTGTGTGTCTGTGTGTGTGTGTGTGTCTGTGTGTGTGTGTGTGTGTGTGTGTGTGTGTGTGTGTGTCTGTGTGTGTGTGTGTGTGTGTGTGTGTGTCTGTGTGTGTGTGTGTGTGTGTGTGTGTCTCTGTCTGTGTCTGTGTCTGTGTGTGTGTGTGTGTGTGTGTGTCTGTGTGTGCGTGTGTGTGTGTGTGTGTGTGTGTACCTCTCTGTACATTACGTTATCCGGTTGCTTGTAGCACCACCTTGTGGAGTTTCGGCTGAAGTTGAAACATGAACATGGGAGTGAATCCAGATCGGTCAGGTTCTTGAGGAACAAGTTCTTCAGCCAATCAGAAGGGCCCATGACGCCGCAGCACATCTCCTGCCGATGTTTTATTAAGCAGATAAAATGATCATCCTTTATTTTATTAATTTAGTCAAAGAAGTGACAAAACGTGGACTCACGTAGTGCTGGATGTTGTCCACCAGCGTGTCCTGACTCTCTGTGTCTCCTCTGTAGTGGACGATCAGGTGGTCCAGCGTGTTGTCCACCTTCTTCTCAATCTGTTCATGAAACACAGCAGGAGGTTAGAGTCCCGCTCAGGATCACACACAGAAGGCCTTCACACTGACTGTGATCTGAAATCAGAGTGTGTTTACTTGAACAGCCAGAATTTTTAAGAATGAAACGGGAGCGCTCTGGTAATACTAACCCTCCCTCCTCACCAGCTGTTCATATTTAAATGAATACATAACCGGACGTACGGACCGTCGGCCGCGTTAGCTCGATGCTAGCTTTGAAGTACGTCGCGTGACCCGTATGTATTTTAGTATGTTGCTAACTGCAAACTCAGAATGTGGTTTCTATATTTTGAGAGGAAAGGCGACTTCTCAGAGAGTTTGAGAAACGTCTTCATGTTTTCACCTTCCTCACCTTGCCTTTGTTCAGGAGCAACAGCAGAGTGATGAAGAGCTGACCGAAGACGAGGACGATGAGGAAGCCCTGGTACTGAGGAGGAGGAGGAGGAGGAGGAGGGGGAGGAGCAGGAGGAGGAAGAGGAAGAGGAGGAGGAGGAGGAGGAGGAGGAGGAGGAGAAGAGGAGGAGGAGGAAGAGAAGAGGAGGAGGAGGAGAAGAGGAGGAGGAGGAAGAGAAGAGGAGGAGGAGGAGAAGAGGAGGAGGGGAGGAGAAGAGGAGGAGGAGAGAGGAGGAGGAGGAGGAAGAGGAGAAGAGGAGGAGGAGGAGAAGAGGAGGAGGAGGAGGAGAAGAGGAGGAGGAGGAGAGGAGGAGGAGGAGGAGGAAGAGGAGGAGGAGGAGGAGAAGAGGAGGAGGAGGAGAGGAGGAGGAGGAGGAAGAGGAGAAGAGGAGGAGGAGGAAGAGGAGGAGGAGGAGAAGAGGAGGAGGAAGAGGAGGAGGAGGAGGAGGAAGAGGAGGAGGAGGAGGAGGAGGAGGAGCAGGAGGAAGAGAAAGTGTTTATTTCACAGTTCATAATAATAATAAAGTCTTTATTTACAGAGGGTGTGACTCACCGTTAGCAGCAGGATTTTGTTTTCTTTAACAGCTGAGACAAATCCAACCACACTGACCACGCCCACCACGCCACCCATAATCATCAGTCCCGCCCCCACGGTACGCAGCTCATCTGAAGACACACACACACACACACACACACACAATAACACAGTGAATAGATCTAACTTTGGGCCCCTCCCCCACAGCCTGGAGATATGACCCTGTTTACCTCTGTAGAGATCCTCTCTGGACAGTGAACCACAGCTGCTGTGTTAGCCTAGATGGAGCTAGGCTAACACTTTCCCTCTGATTGCAGTGATTATGCTAAGCTAGGCTAACCTGCTGTCCCTTTCAACATGATCTGCAGCAGTGCTACCTGAGGGGCGGGCAGTCAGCAGGTTCCTTATGTCGAACAGGATCCACAGTCCACACAAGAACACGCTCAGACCCAGAGCCTGCAGAAAGGTCAGAGGTCAATCCAGTTCCAAAAAAACAGTCCTTAACATATGTTAAGCTTTATCAGATATAAGTACATTTTATTATTCTTAAATTAGATTATTTTATGACTCTTGAATTGTTGTCCTTATTTCTGCTGGCTTCTGTTTTTTAAAAGGAGCAGTATGTAACTCTGGTGTAACCCCCTAGTGTTTAAAATGGGTACTGCAATCTAAATTCTAAACATCATCAGAGTGGATGCTCTCTCAGGTCACCATGTGGTGGACTCTGAAGCTTCAGTGTTTATCCAGCTCTGCATGGGTCTGTAAACCTTTCTGTGTTCTAACCTCTCTCCATTTTTCAAAAGCATCTCCAATATTGATCCTAGTTTGAGCACGTTTCTGCTCGTGGAGCTTATTAGAAACATGCAGAGGCTTTTTAGGTCGGGTACAATCACTTCTATCTGAACCACTTCTCTTGACCGCTTCCATCGCTGCAACACCTGTTGACCTGATAACTGCTCTCATATCTGACAAACAGAGGGGCGTCCAAAACGGCCGTGTGGGGGCGTGTCTTAAAAGCGCCTACCTTCTCTGGTCCAAACAAATCCAGAGCATTCAGGAGCAGAATCTAAAGTTAGAAGGAGGACATACTGGCTGCTGCATTGTTGTCAGAGAAGCCAGCACTTCAACATAGCATGTTTCCTTAATGATCAGAGAGTAAGATACCTTTATCATCTCACTCTCTACACAGCTCACTGATTGGACCTTTAACTGAGTCACATGTTTCTGAATGAAGCTGCTCTGACGGGTTCGTCTTTAACATCATCTCCTTCCTGTGAGGTTTCATCTCCCGCTCCTGAAGACAAACTTCAAAAATATTCTATCTGAATATCTCTATTCATTATTTAACCACTCTGACTTCATCATGAAGTAAATAAACATCTGATTGTTTATTTTCTGATCTTACCAGGAAGATGAAGTTTAAAACTTCAGAGCTGAATGTCAGCAGCTGAATCTTCACATGCAGCTTCATCTTCAGAAACCTGCACCTCCTCGTATCACCTGTCCCAGAACTCAGCAGTCTGTACAGGAGAGCTTGGCAGGTCCAGGTGTGTTTAGGAGAACTCTGCAGGTCCAGGTGTGTTTAGGAGAACTCGGCAGGTCCAGGTGTGTTCAGGAGAACTCGACAGGTCTAGGTGTGTTTAGGAGAACTCTGCAGGTCCAGGTGTGTTCAGGAGAACTCGACAGGTCCAGGTGTGTTCAGGAGAACTCGACAGGTCTAGGTGTGTTTAGGAGAACTCTGCAGGTCCAGGTGTGTTCAGGAGAACTCTGCAGGTCCAGGTGTGTTTAGGAGAACTCTGCAGGTCCAGGTGTGTTCCTCAGGTGGTTCAGGTTCCTCAGCAGAGATTCAGTGTCTGCCTGAGTTTCAACAACACCTGAGATCAGAGTCCACTTCCTTATTGTCCCATCATTCATTAAACTGATCTGACCGTCTCCATGGAAACACACACACACACACGCACACACATACACACACACACACTCACACACCAGGAACCAGGAAACAGTGACTGGACGTACTGGTTCAGAGTGAACAGCAGAGGGCGCTGTCGGACCTCCGCTCTGCAGGACTGAACTCTGATGTTTCCTCTGAGTCTTGATTCCTCAAACCTGCAGAACACAAAATAAACGACTTCATTCTGTTAAAGTCACTCCCACCCCGGATGACAAACTCACTCTGTGTTTATTTTCTGTAAAGCTGCACTTCCTTCCTGTCTCCATGACAACAGTCTGTATATGACCACCGCAGCTCCGTTGCTTTTTACGGCATGTTTGATATCTGAGATAATTATTTCCCAATCAGACGCGGCGCGAGGAGGATGTAGGTACAAGACACGAGTCTCAGGTGGAAAAATATGGGAAATATATTTTATTTTGAAAAGAGCGCCAGTGACATTAACAGCGCCTTTCTGAAAAGTTGAACGATTTTCAACTCGGAGCGCTCTGAGCGGCGTGCTGCTGCAAACGCTCTTTCCTCAGACATTGGAAAAGGTCATCATCTCGTGACCCCCTGAGGAACCCTGACCCTCAGTTTGACTCACATGATGTCAAACATTAAAACATGGGGACTTCAGTCCTTGAAAAGACTTAAAGGTCCCCTGGAGGGTCCTAAGTCCTCAGCTTGAACCCCCCTGCTGCTACACAAACAGCCGCGACACCTTCGACCCCGAGTTAAAGAGAAACATGTTATATGCAGAGTGAGGTCAGAAGTCACAGCTCGGCCTCATTCCCACGGCCATGACGACGGCCAATCAGATTCAGCCGTTTTCCCTGCCGCTCCCCGGTTACCATGGCGACGTGTCCAGTTTGATGTTTTAATGTTCCTGATAGAAATCGGCGCGGCATCATGATGTCACAAGACCATCAGTGACATCATCAAGAAGAAGATTAATCATTATCACCATGGCAACAGAAAGTCCTGCTCCTTGATTGGCTGCTAAGAAGGGCACACCTGAAGCTGCAGGTAACCATAGCAACGACACACACACACACACAGACACACACACACAGACAGACACACACACACACACACACACATACACACACACACACACACACACACACACACACGCAACCACACACACACAGACACACACACCACACACACACACACACACACAGACACACACACACACGCAACCACACACACACAGACACACACACACACACACACACACACGCAACCACACACACACACACACACACACAGACACACACACACACACGCAACCACACACACACAGACACACACAGACACACACGCAACCACACACACACAGACACACACAGACACACACACACACACACACAGACACACACACGCAACCACACACACACACACACACACACACACACACACACACACACAGACACACACAGACACACACACACACACACACACACACACACACACAGACACACACAGACACACACACACACACACACACACCACACACACACACACACACACACACACACACACACACACATCTTGTACGGTGCGTTTCTCAGCAGGAAGAATCCCAGGCAGGTCAATCCCCCCCCCCCCCCCCCCCGACCCTGAGCCTCAGTGTGTTCTGTCAGGCAGGAGGAGACTCTTCAGTTCCTGAAGTGATAAACAAAACTAAATAAGAGCGCCACTTCAGGACGAGCTGTGAAATACAGGAAACAATGTTGATACACGAGACATCTTATTGATCATTAAAGTAAGAAAAGATTGTTTAAAACATGTTGTCTGTGATTCAATCAATCAATCTCAAGAAACTTTACAAAAAGCAGGTAAAGACTTTACTTATTGTTATGTTACAAAGACCGGCCTTTAACCTGAGACCTGTCGCTTTAATTACTGTAAATTTGTTTTGGATGACCTTTTCCGCTTGTTGCTCTTTTCTTTGTTTCTCATTTTTTAAGAAACGGAACATGTGGTCTGTGAGTATCCAGTGTGACGCAGTGGTACAGCGGGTCAGGTGTACAGAGAGAATTAAATATAAACCTTCAAGTTCTCAAAACACACGAGCTGTCTGCAGGTCAGGATCTGTTTAGGTTTCACTTTCCTTCAAGATGTGCTGACTGCACTGTAAAACATAGCAGACAGGAGGGAGAGGAGTCTAAGGAGGCAGGGCATTACAACGTTTACAACACAGAACCAGAGCTCACACTGTACGACCTGATGGTCGACCACGACCTGACACCTCTGACTGGACAAGTGAAATCAGTTTCATTAAACGTCTCAAACAGACGACACACAGCTGAGGAACGAGCAGTCTGCATATTCAGAGTGTGAACTAAAGAGAGGAGAAGAACATCCTGGAGAACAGGAAACATGCAGCAGCAGGTTGATTAGAGCACGGAGATGGTAGAGGTGGCGTGCAGACAGTCTATGGTCGTGCAGCCATCACAGGGAATAAAGGTCACCACCCCCTCCCACTGGCCCCTCCCACTGGCTCCAGGTGAATTCTCCTGATTATATCCTGCTGTGTTCTCACATCAGCTCACTCTGACTTTCTGCAGAATAAATACGAGGAGGCTGGAGGAGAAACTCAGAGTGAAGAGAGAAACATTCAGATATTTGAGTGATCACATGACGCTCAGAGTGAAGAGAGAAACATTCAGATGTTTGAGTGATCACATGACGCTCAGAGTGAAGAGAGAAACATTCAGATGTTTGAGTGATCACATGACGCTCAGAGTGAAGAGAGAAACATTCAGGTGTTTGAGTGATCACATGACGCTCAGCCTTCAGGATGTTTGTGTGTGTGAAACAATGCAAGGTGTTCTGCTGATCGTCCTGTGTCATATTTATTCCAGCTGTATCAAATAACATGAAGTTTAAAACAACACTTTGTGTTTTTATACCCAAAGTTCAGCCTGACAGGTTCACTGTAAACATTTCTAGTGTGACAGAACACGCCCACTTCTCTCTCTCTCTCTCTGTCTCTCGCTCGCTCTCGCCCTCTCTCTCTCTCTGTCTCTCGCTCGCTCTCTCTCTCTCTCTCTCAGTCAGTGATTGTCTCTCGTCCAGGATGAACGTGTTGATCTCTCTCTCTCTCTGGCTTGCTGTGATGATGTCGTCCTGCTGTGGTGAGTGAGCCGAAAAATAGATGTCTCTGTGTGTGTGTGTCTGTGTCTGTGTGTGTGTGTGTGTGTGTGCGTGTGTGTGTGTGTGTATGTGTGTTTGTGTGTGTGTGTGTGTGTGTGTGTGTGTGTGTGGTGTGTGTGTGTGTGTGTGTGTGTGTGTGTGTGTGTGTGTGTGTGTGTGTTTGTGTGTGTGTGTGTAACCAGCAGGTTAGAGGTTTAGACTAGCTCATTTTCAGAGCTTATAGGAGGTTAAAAGGTTAGCATAGCTTAGCTATGTTGAATCATGAAACTTTATCAGCTGCAGTGATCACAGCTGCTTTGTTTCACGCTCTGTCAGCACCAATCAAAAGTTCAGACAAAGACAGAGTCTGAAACATGACGCTTCATGTCTTCACTGAGCTCTGCAGGATCACGTCCAACAGATAACTCAATGATCCATACGTTGCTGGGTAATCCCCAGTGCACTGCAAAAACAGGCAGTTAAAAAACAGTGGTCATCCGTCTCTGAGGGTTTCAGCACGGCTGAAGAGAGACAGGATGTGTGGGGAGGAGAGAGTCTGGGGGGGGGGGGGACATGCAGCAAAGGGCCGGCTCGGACTCGAACCCACAGGACCTTACATACAGATCGGAGATCAGGTTCATTCTGTGTTTATTCCCTGAGTTCCCAGGAGAGTCTCGACATGTTCCCGTCCTCTGAGTCATCAGGACAGTTGTAAACAGCTTGAGGTGAGAGCGGGAGGAGTGTTGAGACAGGTTAGCTCAGAGACAAACTTAAAGAAAGTTCATTCATCAAACCTGACAGGAAAAAAGAAAGTTCCATCAAACAACAAAAACTGTTGGATTGAAACGTTTCCTTCTTTTGGAGCCGGAGATGAACTCTGATTTTAACTCCATAAACAACAACAACAACAACAAGGGATACAACTGAACATAATCCAGTCGAATACATTAAGATTAAATACATAACCATTAAACAAAAAGATAAAATACAATATATGGGACATGATACAACCTTACAGAAAAATATTTTAAAGAGGACATATCATCACTCTCCTCCATCTTTTCAAACAGTCCCCTCCTCCACCTTTTCTAACAGTCCTCCTCCTCCACCTTTTCAAACAGTCCTCCTCCTCCACCTTTTCAAACAGTCCTCCTCCACCTTTTCAAACAGTCCTCCTCCATCTTTTCAAACAGTCCCCTCCTCCACCTTTTCAAACAGTCCTCCTCCTCCACCTTTTCAAACAGTCCTCCTCCACCTTTTCAAACAGTCCTCCTCCTCCACCTTTTCAAACAGTCCTCCTCCACCTTTTCAAACAGTCCTCCTCCACCTTTTCAAACAGTCCTCCTCCATCTTTTCAAACAGTCCCTCCTCCACCTTTTCAAACAGTCCTCCTCACCTTTCAACAGTCCCTCCTCCACCTTTTCAAACAGTCCTCCTCCATCTTTTCAAACAGTCCCCCTCCTCCACCTTTTCAAACAGTCCTCCT